TTCTTCTTCTTCTTCTTCTTCTTCTTCTTCTTCTTCTTCTTCTTCTTCTTCTTTTTTCTGTGTCGTCCATATGTTCGCATTCTCTTAATAAGTTGTTTTATGTTGACACATGCATTATGCGCAAATTGGAAACTATTATTTCTGTTTGTTGACAGAGTGGTTAAGGAGCAGGGTAGAGCTGAGTGGCAGAGAGGGACACAGGAGATCCGAACCCATGTACAGAGTGTGGTGTGTGGACTGCACGGGGCGACTCTCAAGTTGAAATGATCACGAGGAGGTCTTAGTTTGAATGAGAGAGAAAGAAAGGGACAGACATATTAACTATTACATTTCGCTACCCTAGAGTTACAAGTTATATCTGCTCAGTACCTAGATCTAGTTTTGAGAAATTTGATGTAAAAAATGTTAAGTGTCACATGTTAAGCTTTTTCAAATGCTGTTCTTTGAATATCTTGATAATGACTGTGAATAGTCTTACGATGTTGATAGGGCAGATAGAGCATTAGTCTTAGCAACTCAAAACAGCCAAAAGTGTCTGACAGAACTTTGGCTTTCTAAGGTGGTAATTTGTTTTTACTTTCTTTGTGTGCATGTATAAATGTATGCATTGGAGTTTGCTCCATACTTTTTTTGTCTGTGTACATATTCACTGGGCGCTATTTAATGATGATGTTTTTATAAGATTGTACAGATCTGCATCCTACTGTTTGCATTTCCTGGGGGTCACTCTGTGTGTGGGAAACTTTCATAGTAACAGATGTACTTTTCCTGACACTTAAAAATGTTTCAAACGTGACACATCACTTTTGTTTATCAAGCTATTTCTCATATGTATTCTTATGACAGTTGTTACATCTTTTTCAAGGATGGGGTACTGCATTTTATGTACAGTAATGCACTGCTGCACAAAAATGTTTGAGACATTGGATATATGTTATGCTGAAACATAGTTTTGGTTTTAATCTATAGAACTATAGAAAAAAGGTAGGGTTTCTGGTTAATCCATTTTGTAAGGCGTCTTTTATATATTATTTTTATTTATTTTAATTTGGCATAACACTTGCTGGTTGTAAATTAGTTTTACATAAAAATTATGGGGTTTGTCTTTGATTAGTTCGGACGTCTCATGCAATTACCAACACACCATCTAGCACAACGAGCCTATATAAAAAAATTCAATTGCAACAGGGCTAGAGGGCGACCGAGAAAGACCTGGATAGATGGAGTCAGGAAAACACTAACAACTCATGGCATCCGCCTGACCCAAGCTCTCCGGCTGGTGGCAGAGAGACATCTCTTTCTTCCTGCGACACCCAAAGGGGTATAAGCGGCGGATAAAAGTAAAGTCTTTGATAAGCAGTACCCGAATAACTCCTTTTCCCTTCTAAAGAGCTTTTTTGTTTTTTGCTTCTATTTATGACACAATGAATGTTGTAACCAGATTTGGCAGCAGGGCATTTGCCTATATTTGTGTTGAGCAGAGATATTCAGCTTCTCCGAGAAAAAAATGAAGAAAAAAAAGTAAACCTCTCTCAGTCTTTGGAATGTAAAAGTGTTTGGTTTGGCCAAGAATGAGATCGTGAATACTGGAACTGACATTAGTCTTTCAGAAGTGCCGTATTCGAAACATTTATCAATCAGTCCCTGCAGTAGCGAGCCTGACTGTCCAGGGTGACCCTCACTTGTGCCCAGCTTGGGATTGGAGGTAGGTGGACTCGCCTTGCCTGTTTTCCCAACCGGCCCTGTGGGAAGTAAGGAATTCTCTTTAGGAAATTTTATGTACAAATGGGGTGGGGAGGCATTGGGGTTGTTGGTTGGTGTACATTTGTATAATGCTCCATAATGAATAGTGCTAATTGATAATTTTGGGTTATGGGTGGAGGGGGACCGGGGGGTTTGGTTGGCTTACTGGTGATTATGGTCTTATTGGGGATTGGGGAGGGGGGGGTACATTTGTGTAATACTCCATAATGAATAGTACCTACAGGTGTTTATGGTTTAATGGTTAGATTTTTATCCATTACATGCAGAATATGTGGATTCGACTTCTGAGTGAGTTGGTTTCTCTGCCTGTCTGTCTGTCTGCCTGCTGAGATGTTATCCACAAAGCCAAATTGCCCCTTGTTAGCCAGTTCGAAGCTGCTCATCTCTAAATGATCTTGAATTGTGCTAATGGGAGCCTAAAACATTTACTGAAGTATTTTTCATCGCCCTAATAACTAATGGATTTATTTAGCTTTATCTACTCTTTTCAAAACCCTTAATGTACAGCATTACAATATAATAAGCACATCGCATGGTAGATATCATCAACTATGTAATTATTATTCCTCTATTTGAGATTCTGGTACAGGAAAGAAAAAAAAACGGTATTCAAAATGCAGTGATGACAAAAATCTATTTTTATTTTATGTATTTGATACCATTTTCTTAGGCATGCAGATTTAGTATCATGTATACAATGGGCAGGAGCATAGATTGATCTAAAAGTACTTTATTTTATAAATGCTATCACTTTCATCTTACATGGAGACTTTGTAATAGAATAAAACACTCTTTTGTGCAATGTTCTTGAAAGTTGTTTTGTTTATGGTAATCTTTGTGTTGGTTGATGTTATTGTTGCTGGGGTGATGGTTGTCATTGGTGATGATGGAAATGAGTTTTATGGTGATGTTTGTTGCTGTTGATGCTGCTTTTGCAGCGATAGTCTTGTGGTTAGGCCTCCGGACTCATAATTGTGAGATTGTAGAATCGGGGGTTCAAGCCCCGGGTCCAACGTTGTGTCCTTGGGAAAACCACTTTGCACGAATTTTCATCACTTCTCCCAGGTGAGAATGGGTACCCGGCCATAGACAGCGAATGATCTTGTCAGTATGTTCGTTAGAGTTTTAGTGCCTACAAAAAAGGCACTGTATGTTTCCCAGGAAGTTGAGATTGTTTCAGAATGCTGTCAGATCTCCTGGGGTAATGATATCATACAGATTGTAAAGCGCATAGAGCTTCTGTTGAGCAGAAATCTGCACTTTGCTAACGCTGTCTATTATTATCGTTATATTATGTTTTTATTATTATTGTTATTACTAATTTTTATTTTTATGATTTTTTAACCCTATCCGTACGTCGTGTTTTACTATCATATCCATACAACGTGGGGGAGTCTGTGCCACCACTTCCAAAGAGGAAATTTACCGATCCGTACGCTTTGCATAGCAGTTTCTCGAAATGATTTTTGGAGAAATACTGAAAGTTTCAAAGAGATCTTTGTTCTAGAAGTATTCTAAAAATGTGAAGAATACAACCCCGAGGGTACAAAATGACCCCAGGGCGTAGGCTACGGATAGGGTTAAATTATTACCTGCATGCATGGGTGGTCGGTGAGTTCCCTGATGGCAATGTCGCATTTCGCCGAGCAGAGTTTCCCTTTCCCGCGCTGTGTGCCCTTCCTGAGGTCGATGCTGGTTGGGTTAAAGTTGGTTGTCGGCGTGTCGTCGTCTTTGGTCACCAGACAGTTCTTGAGGATCTCCTTAGACATGCCCTCCTTATAGGAGTAGATGAACCCCGGGAACGTACACTCGCCCAGCGCCGCGACTGGGGGGAAGGGGGTGGGCGGTGGGCGGTGGGGGGGGGTATTAGTATTATCCTGGTCTTATTCGAAGATTTAGAGTGCATGTGTGTGGTTTTGTTTTGTGGGTTGTTGTTTTGTTTTGTTTTTTTCCCTTTTTTGTTTAGTTGTTTGATTTTTGTTTTTGTTTTTTTTGGGGGGAGGGTGGTTTACTTATACTATAGAAAAGGGATGTACGATTTTTAGAGAATGAATGGTACATGTATCATAGTCGTGGCATCCGTCCATATTTCACAAGAAGGATCACAAATTATATTTAAATCATTTGAATTAGGGCTCTGCGTGCCTTTTTTGTGGAAAGAAATGAATGACCAATGTACATGATTTCGACTTGGTTGTGCCCAAAATTGGCCCAAGTAAGTTTTTCTTTTTTTTAAAGATAGTTTTTGTCCTGTTATTTTGTTTTTTGGGGGATGTTTTGTTAAGGGGGGGGGCAGGGTCCACCATTTAGCAAAGAGTCTATGAGTATGATAATATGTTGGATATTAGGTATATATTGCTAAGTTTCATAAAGTACATAATCATGCAGATGATCAAACAACACAATGGGACCTGATAACTAACGGCCTTTGCGCCTGGCATTCTGTCCATACTGTTTATTTTGTCAGTTTGTTAGTGTTTGAGCGATTAATCAGCTGCTTGCACTGTATGCTTCCCGGGAAGCTAAGATGTTTTTGAGTTATCTGTAATTATTATTATTATTATAAACACATGTACATGATGTAAATACTCGCCCCAACCCCCCCCCCCCCCCAAGGTTCTGCACCGTCTACATGGGAGCTTCGAGCTCAACACTCTTCATATCCTCTGGATCAGCGTCTACAAATTATCTTAAGCTGGATTATAATTATACTCTCTCTCTCTCTCTCTCTCTCTCTCTCTCTCTCTCTCTCTCTCTCTCTCTCTCTCTCTCCCTCTCTCTCTCTCTTTCTCTCTCTCTCTCTCTCTCTCTCTCTCGCTCTCTCTCTCTCACTGCCTCTCTCTGCCACACACACGCACACACACACACACACACACACACACACACACACACACACTCAAACACACACGCACACACACATTCGCACACCATAATTTACAGATGTATCATAATGTGTATAACAAAATATCTATTATAAAATTATATCATTGTGTGTGTGTGTGTGTGTGTGTGTGTGTGTGTGTGTGATTTACGCTTACATCCTGTGGGAGAGCAGATGTCGTAACGGTCAAACTGTATACACTGGTCAAAGCCCTGGACTTTGGGGTAGTAGGTGAGGAAAGCGTAGCACATCTCGCCCTGTGAATGAGCACAACGGTTTGTCGTATGTATAGCAAGAGCAATACTTCGCTATCTCAGAATTACAACAATGTTCTATCTGCAATTTTTGGCCGTTTTGAGTTACTAAGACTAAGACCGTTTAGGTCAGAAATCAAATGCTCTATCATCTATGAATATATTCTCTCTCAAAATCGTAAGTTTATTCTGAGTCGTTATCAAGATACTCAAAATAAGAATTGCATTCGAAAAAGTCTTGTAAAACTCAAAAATTTCTCAGTGAGGAGGCGACTTGGCCAGTTCTTTAGTAGTCCCATATCGGTATATTTTGTACCTCAGAATTACAAAGTTTTATCGTCTTAGTACCTAGTTTTGAGAAATTTGACGTAAAAAATGTTGGGCTTCACATAATTGCAAGCTTTTTCGAAAGCAATTCTTTGAATGATTTTGATAACGACTCCGAATAATCTTACGATTTTGATAGAGCAGATATATTGGTTTCTGACCCCATGGTCTTAGTAACTCAAAGCGACCAAAAATAATGTCAGAGATAAAACTTTGTAATTCTGAGGTAGTTAACGGACTTCAACATAAGTTAAGGACCACTTGCAAATTTGTCTAAAATTCCCCGAGGATGTCCATGCTGCACGTGGTGGTTTTGCCCCTTTAGTAAGCACTGCAGTAAGCTTTGTTACCCATAAACACTTTCAGAGCAAAAACAATTTTGAAACATTCCTTTTTTTTAAATCAGGGCTGTCTGTCAAAGTGGTCCTTAACGTATGTTGTATATTATATATATAATATATAACATACATATAAAGAAAGGGAAAGACAGATAGAGAGAGAGCGAAACAAACATACACACACAGACACACACACAGATCCATTCATCTATCCAAATACCCATTCATGCTTACATAAATGTATATATATAGGCCTGTAGTCTAGCATGCACATAGCAAACACGTACAGTTTCAAGTCCCCATTTTTTTTCTTTTGTTGTATGTTTTTGTTGGGGTTGTTTTGTTTTTTTTTGCATCTGAAATATGTACACAGCGAAATTTGTACATAACGAAAAGATTTCCGTGTCCCACCGAATTTGTTATATATGGGTGTGTGCTAGTAGGCTCAATGTATATAATATTTATGTGCACACACAAAACACACACACACACACACACACACACACACACACACACACACTCACACACACTCACACACACACTCACACACAACGATACACAACTTACATCGGAACCTTCTCCCCAATACACGGTTCTATTCCTGCTCCTCGGTCCGTCTCGACTGTTGAAGAAACAGGTCAGTCTCATCTCGTCCCCTGAGATCAAAGTCAAAGGTCACGTGATGAGCCAGTCATAGGAATCAGTAACAGTTTAGTTATAGTTGCAGCAATAATATCTTTCGTTCATAAAAGCTTTTTATTTTTGGCTAAGAAGAGGATTCTTATTTCTTACCACCACCCCCACCCCCATCCCCCACCCCCAAATTACTGAAATACTTTTCTCATCTTAGATCACTTGCGAGATAAGCCACAAATAAAGAGCCCAACTTTCTTTTATTCCTCCTACTTTAGGTATGTGCGTTGATCTGTTCCCGTGGGTTTATGCACCCCGAATAATTTAGCAAAATTTGATCTTTTTTTGCATAATTTCTGATTATTTTCCTTTATCATACTTTTTTTTTTAAAACAGAATCGCATAATTTCACATTTTTCAGCTCAGTTTGCATTATTTCATAATTTTTCTGGCATAAAACGACAGGGACAGGTTGATGGTGGTGGTGGTGTTGCTGCTGTTGATGTCTCCTGCTACTGATTGTTCCTATGTTATTTCTACTTGATTGTGCCCAATCAGTAAGCTAAAGTTAATTCTTATTTAGTAAACTGACGCTGACGTTTCTCTCTCTCTCTCT